AAAGGAATAGAATAGAAACAATGAGGACATAAGGTCATTTTACAAAATCCCTTTGCTAGTCTTGCACTTATGCCAACAATAATCAAAGACATATCTGTGTGCCAATGTTTTAGTGGACTGTGAAAACTCAGTAGTCAGCTTTTTTCTTAGGTTCCAGATGACATAACTCAAGTCCCAGTGCTCTAAGGGCAAAAACAGAGCCATGACAAATATCACAAAGTTGAGTATTTTTGTTACTTGTGCATTTCTTTGAGTAAGATATGAATGGTGTAGATAGAATATAGCAATAATTAGATAACACTGTTTTATTATCTACATTCTAGGTAGATGACATTATTTTAAATAATTAAGTATAGATTCTATAAGGTTCTGCACTGAAACTTTCACTTTCACCAGTAACTTGTCTTCAGATGTCATAAAAGTCTTTGTAGATGCCTTCAGGCAATTTAGTTTAGCTTATTCAGATATAAAAAAACATTGATGGCATGTCTTCAGCTCAAAGACATTTTACTTCACTTCTGAGAGGTTTCAAATATAAATACTGGAAAAAGGAATCACATATAAAAGAAATATAATGCATCCACTCAGCAGCAGAAATAATTTAATATAAAACCACTGTTATAAATTAGTGAAAAAATTAATTTAAACATATTTAAACAGAATATACCTGGATACAAATGTGTGGCTATATGTTCTGCTCAACTCCTCCAGCCACCAGTTAATGGAGGAAAGTGACTGAGAGAAAAGTGCAATAGGGTATATCATGAAATGTCATGCTAAAATATACTCCAACGTATTCTATGGCTTTTTTTTTGTAATATGGGATCTTATGATATAGTAGTCACCCAGAAATTAGGTTTTCTAACTAACTCCATGGACTGGGATGTATACATGAGGAATCACATATCTCGAACCTGGGCCTCCAGGCAGTGCTCAGCCCATGGCGGACACCTGGCAGCTCACTGGAACCTTGGGAGAAAGGGGCTAGCAGAGCGTTAGCTCACTAAGAGCTCCTCTGACAAAGTTCCTGATTGGGGGAGACATCCGGCCCTGCTGGCTGGCCCAGATGTACTAAAGCCAGAATGAGGCACAGGAAGGTGTCTGAACAACTAGGTGAATCCCTGACTGGCTGTCCCTATGGACCCTGCCTACTGACCCGACTCCTGTTTTTTCCCTCCCAACCTGTTCCTATCTCCTTATCCCAGATCCCCATCTGCTCCTGGTTCCTTCTTTCCTGCTTTGCTCCAGGTCCCTGCTCCTACACCCTATTGGCTCCGACCCATGGCTTGACCACTGGCTCATCCCCTGACTCTGACTCCAATCTGGCTTTAACCCTTGACTTGACTCCTGACTCTGCCTCCAGCTCTGACACCTGGCTTTGGTTCCTGGCATTTGACTCTAACCATGACTGCCCATGTCCTACTCCTTACAGTATGTTATAAACATTTAACACCCCTCTTACCCTGAAGCTGCTGCAACATGCTGCCTGTTATCTGTGAAAGAACAGATCTGCAGAGAAGTGTGGTGCCACCTTTTTATTACTTGGTCCAAATCCTACAGGTTTTTTTTTAAATATCCCTCTTTAAATGCACTTTTTGCATGAAGGACATTTGAACTTATTTTAAGTTTCTAAATGTCTAAAATTCTGCATCTCTCTTTGAATTCTGACGGGTGCTGTTCACATTCCAGCAACTGAATTGCATCTTAGCTGAATGGTAGTAACTAAGCTTAAGTGCAGTGAGATTTACAGCTAAAAATGTCCATATTCATCCAGTAAACAGGGAAGGCTAGATTCATACTTGTGCTGGCACTAGAAATAGAGAGGAAGCGGTTTGAACCTCCCTTATTCAGGGGCAGCTGAGGACTGGTTTAGCTCCCGGTAAGGCCACAGAATTGCTGGAGTGCAGGACTGCCTTGATCATGCTTCTTCCTGTCCCCAGTCTTCCCTCTCCTTACCCTGAAATGCTGCATGTGCCAGGATCCCTGCAAACTCTATGCAGAGCTGGTGGAGCTAGCTCTGTCCCTGGAATAGAGGTCCCTGCAGCTGGAGTATTTACAGAGGTGGAGGAGATTATACTTGTCCAACAGCCTCTTTGTACCAGCTGGACTGATGTAGGGAAAATGATGCCTTGGTCTTAGAGTGATTCACAAAATAATTAAAGAACATAGTGTAATATTGATTACAAAACACCTATGGTATCTATATTACAGCACTAGTTATCAACAATGCAGCTGCATTGCTTCTACATCTCTACTGGAGAGAGGGCTCAGGAAATTTTGCCACTTTGTCATAAAAACTTTTTCAGAGCATGTTTTTATAAATATAAATAAATTAAATATAAATTAATGGAGATATCCCATCTCCTAGAACTGGAAGGGACCTTGAAAGGTCATCAAGTCCAGCCCCCTGCCTTCACTAGCAGGACCAAGTACTGATTTTGCCCCAGATCCCCAAGTGGCCCCCTCAAGGATTGAACTCACAACCCTGGGTTTAGCAGGCCAATGCTCAAACCACTGAGCTATCCCTCCCCCCATGCTATGGTGGTGAAAATGCTTGAGCCCTGTCTATGCTAACCTCACACTGTTCCTACCACTGGT